CAGAGTGAGTAGTAACAGGGTCTGCACTGTGAGAAGTAGCAGGGGGCTAAGCTGTGCGAGGGTGATAGATTTTTACACTGATAGCTAGGTCACAGGTAAAAGGTAGCTGAGCAGTGAGCTGTCTGAGTGTGATGGATTTTTCACAATCAGGCAGCGGGGGGGAACCTGTGTAAGAAATGTATGCACACTTCCAATAACATAACATTTAGTGTGCTCACTTTGTGATATACTTAACTGTTTTAAATTACTTTGATCCGAAAGTAGACAATGATCATGTAGTGGCAAAAATCTGACAGGCTGTTTCCTGGTGAACCAAAAATCTCTGAGCCTATGAGGAGGGAGAGAGCAGAGAGAGCCACTTCTTTCATGCAAAGCGCTGGATCAAGATCTGGCTCAGGTAAGGGGGGGGGGGGGTGAAGGGTTGAGCTCATTAGAAATTTTACCTTAATGCAGGGAATGCATTAAGGTAAGAAACCTTCAGCCTTTAGAACCACTTTAATGACAACTTCTACATAGGCTACAGTTTTTCTTGAGCTATTTAACAATGATAATGAAAGGTGGTTTATTGTTTGCACTGTGGTAGAGAAATCAGGTACTATCCAAATGTATACTATATGGAACTATATAAAAATAAGTTAAAAGAAATACATAATAATTATAATATGTATTAATATTTGCGAGGTTTAAAATATATAAAGGTGTGCCATCTTTGGATTAATCTGTAAAATATTATAAAGAATATGTGCTCCAAGTGCTGTAAAAATATATAAAAAATGGCAAAATATTTTAAAATTAAATTATTTGAAAAATGCATTTTTCAATCCAGGATTATTTCTCTTTAAAGGGTTATTTAGAATATACTAATAAAGCAAAAAGTTGCCATACATATAGATCCATTTATTCACATACAGCATAACTTCCATGGAAAAACAGACAAAACATTTCAGACACCAAAAACAAATTTACAATGTTCCCAAGTGATGTGGACAGTAAGAAGCTTACTAGAAGGTTCATATCTTCATTAACACCTCTACAGTCCCTGAAGGACTCACTGCGTGAAAGCATTTCCACAGAACCCATGTTTTGACATGAAATATAACAAGGCGTGCTGGAAGATACCCTGCTGGTGTTAAACGCATTTACTTGATGCCTTTGTGTTCATTTGTTAGAGAGCAAAGGTGTACGAATTATGGGATGTAAGGTAAGTAAAGAAAGCAGACATACAATGAAAAAATCATTGTAAATATCTCATTAGTAAATAATACAGTCGATGTAGAATACTAATAGAAGATGATAAACACTAACATACAGGCAAAGGGGAGCTGCAATGTAAGAATTTTCAAATAGGAAATTAATAAACATATGTATCTATAAGACTATGAGAAATATACATTTCAGAGTCAAAAAGCCATTTGGGTTACCAATAGGCAGACTGCTGGTAAAGCCAATCACAAAACATAGCCCAGAGAAGCCACTACATAGGACATTTATCTGTTTATAAGGACAACTCGGACTCTGCTGAGAAAAATCCCAGGAGCTGGTCCTGATTGATGTACTCCTGCAAATCAGAAAAAGAAATGCATCATCGAGCCCCTGGCTGCAGCAACTCTTCTTATTTTTGGTAAGCAGCAGAGCATTTTTTGCACTGTAAAACACTTTTCCAAAGAGCAAAAAGAGGAGAAAAATGTCAAGAGTGGCAAATAAATAAAAGTTGCTGCAGTTTTAGAGTACAGAGATTCATTTCTTTGGTCAGAAAAGAAACACCTTTAGCTGTGTAATTTCTTTATTTAATTCAGTCACTTCCTATGGCATCATTCTATGACACAGTGTTACTCACTGACTGGTAAAGTGGATTTAAATCCTGCCTGAGATTTGGTTTGCAAAAGCATAAGGTTGATAGGGCTTTGGCCCCATAGCTTGGAAAGCCTACAATGATTTGAGCTGGTCACATTTTTTACATAAGCTCCTGAACGGAATTACTGGAGCTGAAGTGGAGTTTAAGTCAGAATGGAACTGAAGTCTAGAGTATTGGTCTCAAAATTGTGGCTCAGGGGCCAGATGCGGACCTTTGCTTGCCTTTATACTTGCAAGCGAGTAGTTTTGGTTTGGCCAGCCCACTGATTGCATTAATGCTGAGGGCTCTTGAAAGGAGTACTGAGACAGGGTGTTGTAATGTTTTCAGGGGGCTATGAGATCTGTCTGCATAGAGAACCAGGAGAGCCAGTGATACATCATTAGGTATAATAAAGGATCCTGTATATAATTAAAATGAAAGGTTAAAAATTATTATCATGTTGATGAAGGGGGGGGGGGGGGTATGCAGATAGCCTTAGGCTTTTAAATACCTTTTACTCTCAGTGAAAATTCCCCTCACACTGCAATGTTCAGTGGTGGCAGAACAGCATAATAGCCACATTCCTCAGCACAAGGTCCATTACAAAGACTTGTATTGCAGAAAGGGAAAGAGGGTACATCTGACCAGGTTTGTATAAATTACTGAAAACATTGGGTCTTTTCCAGTGACTTCTTGGCTCTAAAGTCATATTTAGACATCCTGCAATGCAGGAAAATAGAGGTAAGACTAAAAATCGAGGCTGCTAGCTCAGTGTCTTTCTGAATACATATCCATTCCTGTCAATGTCTGTAACTCTATTAATAGAACATACACTATATTGCCAAAAGTATTGGGACGCCTGTCTTTACACACATATGAACTTTCATGGCATCCCAGTCTTAGTCCATATGGTTCAATATTGAGTTGGCCCACCCTTTGCAGCTATAACAGCTTCAACTCTTCTGGGAAGGCTGTCCACAAGGTTTAAGAGTGTGTCTATGGGAATGTTTGACCATTCTTCCAGAAGCGCATTTGTGAGGTCAGGCACTGATGTCGGACTAGAAGGCCTGGCTCGCAGTCTCCACTCTAATTCATCCCAAAGGCATTCTATCAGGTTGAGGTAAGGACTCTGTGCAGGCCAGTCAAGTTTCTCCACCCCAAACTCGCTCATCCATGTCTTTATGGAGCTTGCTTTGTGCACTGGTGCGTAGTCATGATGGAACAGAAAGGGGAAACTCCCAAACTGTTCTCACAAAGTTGGGAGCATGAAATTGTCCAAAATGTCTTGGTATGCTGACGCCTTAAGAGTTCCCTTTACTGGAACTAAAGGGCCAAGCCCAATTCCAAAAAACAACCCCACACCATAATCCCCCCTCCACCAAACTTTACACTTGGCACAATGCAGTCAGGCAAGTAACGTTCTCCTAGGAACCACCAAACCCTGACACATCCATTGGATTGCCAAACAGATAAGCATGATTCATCACTCCAGAGAACACGTCTCTACTGCTCTAGAGTCCAGTGGCGGTGTGGTTTACACCACTGCCTCCGATGCTTTGCATTGCATTTGGTGATGTAAGGCTTGGATGCAGCTGCTTGGTCATGGAAACTCTTTCCATGAAGCTCTCTAAGTACTGTTTCTATGCTAATCTGAAGGCTACACAATGTTTGGAAGTCTTCAGCTATTGACTCTGCAAAGAGTTGGCGACTTCTGCGCACTGTGTGCTTCAGCATGCGCTGACCCCGCTCTGTCATTTTACGTGGCCTATCACTTTTTGACTGAGTTGCTGCTGTTCCCAGTTGCTTCCACTTTGTTATAATGCCACTAACAGTTGACTGTGGAATATTTAGTAGCAAGGAAATTTCACGGATGGACTTATTGCGCAGGTGGCAACCTATCATGGTACAATGTTTGAATTCACTGAGCTCCTGAGAGTGACCCATTCTTTCACAAATGTTTGTAGAAGCAGTCTGCATGCCTAGGTGCTTGATTTTATACATCTGTGACCATGGAGGTGATTGGAACACCTGAACCCAATGATTTGGAGGGCTGGCCCAATATTTTTGGCAATATAGTGTATATAAAATTATTAATTCATGGCCATAGTCATGGAAGAACAACACAGGCCTTAGCAGTTGAATCCAACTGCATCCAAACATTAGGTGGTAGATAGCCCTTACTGCAATTCCCTGTTGCTGGGGATATTAGAAGGTTATAAAGCCATTGTAAATGTGTGATTGATGGTAGGATGCCCACTAGTATGGATGAGCTCCTGGTTTGGCCCAGACATAACTTTGCTTTGGTTTGGTTCAGACAGAACTTTGCTTGTTTCGGCGACTGTCTTTTTTTTTTATTTTTCAGCAGCTACCAGGTACTTACCAGAGCCTGGGATTCAGTGCTGTCTTCCTGCAGGCCCCTGGCACTGCCATCTTTGATATGGGAGCTTCCTGAGGGACCACATAAGGCTGCCCCTTGCACAAGGGTGAGTGTCTTTATTTGTTTTTTTTTTTTTGCATTTATTGTTTACTTACATTTTTTATTTACAGTTTTTGTGTGAATAAGTAGAGATACTATGTACTCATTACTTTTTTATATGGGGGCCCCCTTTTTTTAACCACTTCAAGTCCAGACACTTTCACCCCCTTTCAGTCCAGGCCAGTTTTCAGCTTTCAACACTATCACACTTTGAGTAGCAATTACTCAGTCAGGCAACACTGTACCCATATGAATTTTTTATCCTTTTTTTTTAGACAGATAGAGCTTTCTTTTGGTGGTATTTGATTACCACTGAGTTTTTTTATTTTTTCCTATTTAAAATGAAAAATACCAAAAATGTTGAAAAAAAAAAAAATCATTTTTTGCTTAGTTTGTGTTATACAATTTTGCAAATAGATAATTTGTAACTTTAGGCCAAAATGTATTCTGCTACATTTTTGGGGTAAAAATAACCCAAAACAATTTATATTATTTAGTCTGTGTGAAAGCTGTAGCATCTACAAACGATGTGGTATATATTTGAAAAATGATCAGTTGAGATCCCAAAATGCCGGATGCTGGTAGGGCATATGGCAGTGATCGGGAAGCTGGTATGGCGGTGATCAGGACATTATCATGAGGTATGGAGAAGATCAGGACGCTGGTATGGCAGTAGCCAGGGCACTGTTATGGGGTATGGGGGTGATCAGGATGCTTGTATGGGGTATAGCTGTTATCAGGATGCTGGTATAGGGTATGGCAGTGATCAAGGTGATGGTATGGGGTATGGCAGTGATCAGGATTCTGATATGGGGTATGGTGGTGATCAGGATGCTGTTATGGCATATGAGGTGATCAGGATGCTGGTATGGGACATGGCGGTGATCAGGATGCTGGTATGGGACATGGCGGTGATCAGGATGCTGGTATGGGGTATGGCAGTGATCAAGGCGCTGGTATGGTGTATAGAAGTGATCAGGCTGCTGGTATGGTATTTGGAGGTGATCAGGGTGCTGGTATGGTATATGGCAGTAATCAGGGTGTTGGTTTGGGGTATGGCGCTGATCAAGACACTGGTATGGCAGTTATCAGGACATTGGTATGGTGTATGGGGGTGTTTTGTGCGCACTGGGACAGGTGTCAGGCCTCCCTGATATTGTGGGGCTGTGATCAGGGACACAAGGGCACTAAACTGGTTCACTGGGGTGGCTGGCATTGCAGTGTGCTGCTGTATGCTCACAGACTGCAGGATCGCTTCTCTCTGCTCTCACACTGAGACCAGAGAGAAGTGATCTTTACGTTCAGTTTCATTGTTTCATGTGGATGATGTGATGGATGACACACCGATCACCGGGCTCCGGGGTGCGCACTCTGTGAGCCGCACAGGAGACATTGATGCAGGCTGATGTACAGGAACGTTAGCCCACATCGGCGTTGCTTCCTTTCCGGCCATTCTACATAAATGGCGGACATGAAGGGTTAAAGGGGACTTCCAGATTTTGACAACTCCCCTGCCCACAGACCCCCATAACCACCAGGCCAGGGTTGTGGGGAAGATAAGGGTGTGGCATGGATTCTGGGGGGGGTCCAATATCATTTTTTTATGTCTTTTTTTCACTTGGGGCCCCCCTTGACAAGGATAAAGGTCTGACAGGTATGTTAGGGGGAGCACCATGCTGTTTTTTTTTTCTGCATGGGGTCCCCCATTATATACCAAACCTGCATCTAGGATTAAGATCTGGTCAAGATAAAAGGAAGTTCCTGAACACTTTGTTTACAAACAAAACAACACAGCCAGCAACTGTCATTTACCTGCAGTTTACACTGCATTTTGTTCATGCAAATGCCAGCTTTGCTATAGTAGGTTGTATACATCTTACAGATGTGCCACTTCATAGACAGATTCAAGGCATCCCCAATACATGTTATTTAAGGATATTGTGCATTTTTATTGTTTCACTTTACATATTAATAAAATCTCTGCTCCTCTAAATGTTTTTTTTTTTATCCTTTTGTAGCACCAGCTGGGCTGTGGTCTTGTAGTTCAACCCAGCAGCATTGACAAAATAATCAGCAGAAAGGACAGTTTTCCTTTCCTGTTACCTTGATGGGCAGCCTAGGGAGAGAGGAGACTGGGTTGAGCTTTATTTGGCTGCTGCTGAAGATCACTTACTCTTAACAGTGCAAAAGGAGGACTCTGATTGGCTTGGTAGGCCAGGAGTATTATGAGTGGCTGCTGGCCATATTTAGCCCTATCCCCCAGATGGACACCAACATGGGGTACAGAGAAAATTCATTGGGCTTTACAGGGGGAGCAGGGGTGCCCAGGGGTTGTGAGCCCAGACTGTGCTGCCCGGCATCCAGAGATAAAGAGAGGCTTGGGGCTGCTGTTGCTAGACTGTGCGGATAGCTGGTGTATAGGGCTCAGCACTGACCAAGACTGCTACTGCTAGAGGCTGCTGAACCGTGTACTGCAAAGAGCCAGAGTTGCCATACACTGTCTGTTGCGGATATGTGCTACGTAAGGATAACTGTAAGAGGACTTTGCTACTGCTCAGGCAGAGAAATACTGGAGTGTGAGTACTGTTCTACTGCGTATAGAGGCCACTGCTGGAGGAGTGAGAGATGTGTACTGCTGCACCGAGACTGTCTGCTGCTGCTGAGAGCCAGGGTCACATGCAGAATGGCTGTTCCAGAACTGATCCAGTTTTCAGAGTGTCCCATCAACCACTGCCTGTTATAGCTGCAGAGAGCTAGTTAAAGAGAGAGGAGTCTTTCCATGACCACTGAGGGACCACTTTGGACAAGAACTGAAGGAGTCCTCAGTGGTGAGAGGCCTGTGCACTCATCTTGTTTATCTAACTGAAAAATTCAACATAAGACCCCCATTGCTGGCTGGACTGAAATGTTCCACTGGTCAGTGGTTATGCAGGGCCTGTGTGTTGTAGTTAGGTTTTTGGTATTTTTGTTGCTTTGTCTCATACACTACCTATGTTAGTGGTATTGTGATATTGTTGTTTCTCTATGCCAGCTTAGTGCCTTCTGAATAGGCCATTTCACAGGCAGAGTGCGAGGAATGAAAAGTGTAATTTTGTTAATTGGTGTCACATATCAAACTGTATTTGCTATACTATTATTTTACTTGATTAACCCACCATTTCCTTCTACAGATTTTGCCACTTAACTAAGACCCACTGAAACATTTACAGGCATGTGGGTGTATTCTTGGGCCCAAGTAAGGTGCAGGGAAAAAGGGACCCAGAACATCCAATAGCTCTTTTGGGAGTAAGCTCTACATTTCTTTTTGCTTTGGTACATGTTCCCCACACATAAAAAATTGACATTACTGATGTCTAGGAATCAGTTCCCCTTGACTTCAATGTGGTTCGGATTCCACCCCCTAACTTCAGTAATGTTTTGTAAACCTGTCCTGAACTAAACCCAGGTACGTTTTGCTCATCACTCATTTCATCGCTCATGGGAGAATCAGTGAGCAAGATTTAGATAATCAAGAGGCAAGAGCAGGACAATCTGGGGTGCCTCATTTTGGAGGACACACTTGTGGAATCAACTAGAGAGTTTGGTATCTTCTCTGTAGGGATAGGAAGTGAGTGAAACTCTAATGGCAGTGACAGGATTGGATGTGGGAACAAACACAACTGCACTCTGAGGAGGCCTAGGTGACTTCTGTAATGCAAGTTGAGAAAGTATATACAAGAGAATAATGAGACCTGTGGACGTGTGCCAAGGAGAGCACAGCACATGCTCCCCAGGGGCTGTTGAGATACAGTGGTAAATTCACTTGATCTAAATGTGGAGAAAACTGTGCAATTGCCATTCAGCGCCCTCACCATTCAAAGTCAACCAACAAGCCAGGTGCAGTTGCAATGTTTATTTATTTATTTCAGGTATTTATACAGTGCTGTCAATGTATGCAGTGCTTTACATATATATGGTACATTCACATCAGTCCCTAACTCTCAAGGGGTGTACAATCTAAGGTCCCTAACTTACATTCATACATACACATACTAGGGCCAATTTAGACAAGATTCAATTAACCTACCTGCATGTCTTTGGAGTGTGTGAGGAAACCAGAGTACCTGGAGGAACCCCACGCAGGCAGAGAGAGAACATGCAAACTCTAGGCAGGTGGTGCCATGGTTAGGATTTGAACCAATGACCCTAGTGCTGACTGGCGGAAGTGCTAACCATTTAGCCACTGTGCTGCCCCAATTAGCAATAAGCTCACAAGTAAATGAAATGCCTAAGAATTAACTTGAAAAAGTCCTTGCATTTTTCCCTGTGGGGACCGTTGTGAGAACTGTCTACATCTAAAACGTTTGAGCCTGTGTTTCCAATTATTTTGTCTATCGCCTAAAAATCTTTGGTCTACAAGTCTACAAGGCAAAACAGTAAATGGTTACTGTATTTATGAGACGTGTATTGCCAGAAAATTCTGGATATTATTTTCTTGTTCTTGTAAAGAAACTCATGATTGCATTCTGAATAAACTTTATGTAACCTTATCAGTGATATTTAACAGCCTGATTTTGCAGGGATTTTAAACTTGAACTTTCAGCCCAGAAAACAAACCCTTTGATGAAATTGCTTTGAGCATTGTACCTCTACAGAAATGTTAGTGAATCATGATAATGCAATTAATGTAGTTTCTTTATATGCCTGATATGCTATTGTTTCTAAAGAGTCACTCAGTGTCATCCTCTGAAAATGGCTGAAGTAGGTATGGAACATTTCGGAATATAACCATATTTTCTAAACATTTCCCATAGATAAACTATAAATCCATAACAATTTTCTTAACAATAGGATGTACAACTGTTAGAGCTTCAAACCCACTTTAAAGTGTAACTTTTTAAAATATATATTCATTGAATTGTGACAATAGACTACTTTGTGCAGAAAAGATTTGCCAAAATCCTGACCTCCTCTAATTTTGTAATTGAGTCATTTACTTTCACTGACAGCACAAAGTCTAAAGTCAGCTAAGCGGCTTATACTATGAAATGGCATCTTTTCTTAGGGTTCATTGGATGAGTTACGTAAAAGTTTCTAAAGGACAAAAGGCAAATATTTATTTTGGGATTTAAAATAGTTTATAACACTTTTATGAATGATACATCTAACTTCATGCCTTTTAAAACACAAGGCATATGTTCAATGCAAAATTAACAAATAGTATTCATTTTATTATTTCAAAAAAGTACATAGCTCATGCAGAATTTTTTTTTAGAAAGAAAGTAGGTAGAATTCTGCAAAAAAAGTTTGCTAATCTCTTTGCAAAGTCTATAGTTAGCCTGTAAAAAGACTAGATTTTTACTTTAAATATGGATGCTATTGCAAATTATATTTGGAGTAACTTGTACTACTAATTTAATGGCCTTTGTAAAAATTAAATAAATTAGTGTAAAATATCCTGGCTGTGATTAAGCCAATTAGATGAAATAAATGTCTGATGCTAAAATACTGATAAAAGAGACTCATTAAGATGAAATGTGGCAAGCTATTTATAGAGTTTCTCGTGTTGTTAGATTAGCTATTGTGCCTTATTTTAAAATTTGGAAAGGATTTTCACAACATGAGGTTGATATCTAGGGACAAGCTGTGAGGTTTTCAAAAGTTCATTGATTTACGCTGAAAGTCTGTAGATGGAAAAGATAGATGCATTACATCTTAGAGTAATGAATTGTTATAGAAAGGCTTACAGTATTAGATAAAAAGGTGAAAACCCTTCATATAGGGACACTAATTCTAAATTCGGTTGTGAGTGTCCTCATTCCCTCAATATCTTACAAACAATCAGAAATATTTTTGATTAGTTGTAATAGAAAGGTATTTTATAACAGTAAGATGCTGCCTACTGAGTAAGCCTGAATCTGGGGTGTAGTGTGTATAGGTGGAAGAAGCTGAGCCCTAGAAGTTTTGAACTGATGGCCATCTGGGAAACCGGGGTGGTGAGCCATAGAGCACTATGGTTCCACTTTTCTGTTTTCCATAATACATATTATATGAGAGAGTCAGCTCTCATATAAGAGAGTGTATACTGTGGGGGTACCAGGAGAGGAGCTGGAGGAAGACCAGAGGATGCACACAAGTCTGTTCATAATGAGCTCA